CCCCCCCCCCCCCCCCCGCCGCCTCTGCTCTATTTTGTTAAAAAAGAGCATGATCATTCTCCCTCTTCACCATCTCCCAGTTGCTTCTACATATCAAATCGAGGCCAAATGAAAAAGGTAAGTTCAATCAAATTCTTATGTGAAATAATATCAAATTTTCTCAAGATAAATAGAGACACCTCGTATGATTTGACGTTGGGGTGTCAGCCGACAATGCCCTCATTTTCCGTTGGGTAAGCAATGTGTGCCGTGCAGATTAGGCATTCTTGTTGGTTCATTTTAACGTCAAAATCAAATTAATTCAAGAGTGAGTTCATTAGTGAAAAGGTCATAAAACAACAACGAAAAGTTGTCAATATTACGAAAGTTAAATAAAAGACTAGACCTATATTGGTACGTCTAACATACCAAACGTGCCACAAAGAGAGTAGAGACGGTATAGACATCAAGGTTTCAACTTATTTCTGCATTATCTCACTATATTATGGATTTAGCATGGCTAACATGCATGTTGGGAATCCTTCAATTTTAACTTCTGTACAAGCCTCGGTCATTTTAGTTCCTTCTCTTACTCCATCGGGGGAAGCACTCAACATAGTCCAACAATTTAGCTGCTTCACGTCCAAACATCTGTATCAAAAGAAATTCATGCATTCACAAACAAAAATGAGTACATAATCTAAAATTTCCTCCCCCTCTCAACCACACAGGGGTAGGGGGAGGGGAAGGGGGACGGGTTTCATATTCGGCAAATTTAGATATTTCCTTTTGGATAAAACTCCTAAGAAGAACCCAATGAGAATAACATTAATCAATTAAGCAAACATTTAGGAGAATGCTTTTTCCATGTCAGTTGTCTATATAGGTAACTCGAATGAAATTACATCATGAGCAGAGAGAGAGAGAGAGAGAGAGAGAGAGAGAGAGATGGCATGATAATAGTCAACACTGGAGTACCTATGAAGCATATCTTAGATAGAGATGAGAAACCATGTACATCATAGACACTCCTACTGGAGGGTGTATCCATATTCGACGCATATCCAACACCGACAGTCCAAGACATGTGTCTAACAATCCGCATGGTGTGCCCTACATTCTCTATACTTCTTTAAATTTTCGACACCCGAGAGACACTTCCTAGCAAGCCTCGAGCGGTATTGGTGGTCCATATGGATGCCTTACAGAACGCCCTCAACAGATTGAGGACTCAAAAGCCCCATTTTGTAACTTTTGAAATATAAAATTGGAGAAAAAATTAATTATTAAAATACTTGTCTAAAAGAGTAGGAATAATGAGAGGAAAATTCTAAGAGCTTCATGTCGAATTTGTTTCATTTCTACTATATGCATTTTCCTTTCTATGACAATATTGCCTTTTTCTTTAAGCAACAGTAGTAATAGATATTTTAAGCCAAAAGTTATCTGTTACATAAAATATTAAAGGATGGAAACTCTCACGTTCAGCGAGCTTAGAAAATCGCCAAATACAGTTCCTTTTTCTATGACATTTGTTTTCCTCATAGGGAGACCCACAAGTGAGAAAAAACATAATAGTTTGTCATTCCAGAAATGTTTTTGAAAAAGAAAAAACACGATAGTGTCAAAAAAATAAATCACAAAGTAGATGTACAGAATTTTTTTACCGAATCTTTTACCTACTACTCACAATTGGAATGAGGACCACATTGTCGAA